CTGCTAGGCGATGTCCTGGGTGTTTTACATGCCTCATTTCATTTAATTAAAAAGAAAAGCCACAAGAAAGGTGTTGTGAGCATTCCCATTTTGGAGATGAGAAAACTGAGGCACAGCGGCATTAATGAAGTTGCTGGTAAGTGAAAGGGATCGTTTTGGTTAAGTATTATTTATCTACATTTAGTAAACCTAGTGTGAAGGGGCACTGTCTATTTAGGTGAAATGGCAAAAACAAAGAAACAAACAAAAAAAAACCCACAACTCCATTTCTAGTCTCTCTGTTAAAAAATCTAAATTCTTGAATTTTTTAAAATCTAAATTTGCCACATTTTGTTTTATTTCTTCCCTGAATGTGTGAGATATTTGTACTTTCTTTGCAAAGAGTGCAAAATAAACACACTCCATTCCTCTCTTTCGCTCATTTTCAGCACTTTCTCACCCTGCCATAATGCCAGCCCCGGAAAGGGCAATCCAGGCGACGACGGAGGAGGCAGAAGAAAGCACTCAAATCAGTGTTGCTCAGTTTTGGTGCAGAGAGCAAGGGCTAGTAGGCCCTTTGCCCTCCTGAGCAGTTTTATCCCTACATTTTTTGATTGGAGAATTGGGCTCAATATTCTCTCTCTTAATTCTGTATTAATATCCATTCTGGCCAACTTCCTACATGCGGGCTACACAGCATGTCAGGGCAGGGAGACGTATGGACTGAAGTTATTTCATCCGCAGAATCTGGACACTACCCGCGTTCCCTGAAGGTGGTAGGAATCGCTACTAATTTCATGGCAGAAGAAAAGGAACGTCGATGTGATTTACTGACGGTACCGGGCTTGGGAGCCCGAAATCCCTACTCCCCAATTCATTCAGCGCAACAGCCCATTTGACCCCAGGCACAATGTATTCCTGTGAGTCTCTATTGCCTCTTATACAAACTGCTGAGTGTAGAGAAACTTGATCAAAACATCAAAGATTACCAGGGAAGCCGTGTGTGTGCCCTTCACAACCGCTGATGAAGTACCTTAACCTCGCCTTCTCCCGATGCCTTGCACATGGTCATCTGTCTTCCTGACTACCACTTCATATGGCTTATTTGTAAATTCAGGCAAATGTGCTTCCAACTGGCACTGATGCATCACTGATGCCAAAATATCAGAGAGGGTGAAGCATAAGGACATATTTTTTGATCCAGATGGAAAATATTACAGATTTATGGGGGAGTGATGACAATAGCCATTCTGTGACATCTTCATATAATCAGTATCTTTCCATGCCTCCCTTCACCAAATTTTATGACCTCCAAACTTATTGGGAGGAATTATTCTCTGGCTGGCCCAAAAGGTACAGTGGGGTGGGTGTGGGGAGGGGGCTGGTTGCCTGAACAACCCGGCTCTGCCTTTTCAAGGCCTGGATTGCCACTGCTTTCCGATGGCCACTTACGGAGCCATCATGCTCAGCGTGTCTACTGATGTCCCACGGACATCGATGTGATTTGCCCGAGTGGACGGAGGGCAGCCCAGCATACAGCCATTAGGACCTAAAGGTTATGTATAATGGATGATAGAGGAAAATGAAATCGCAGAAAGGAATTTGCACGGGAAACAGAAGCAGTAAATAGTTTCAGTGAAAGATTTTACTTGGGTTTTACAGCAGCTGCAAAGAAGGATCGAAAAGAACAACCAGGACTCTTCCAGATTCAGCAAGAGTTAAGCGCTAAATGGTTTCCTATGTCAAAAGAGCATAGTTTTCAAAGTTTCGACCACAGAAAGCCATTTGAAAATCATCTTGTACGTTATAATTCTTATGTGAAGTCTTTCACCTGAACGACCGTTTATGGATTCTTACTTTACCCTTCTCAGGTGGTCAGCAATACGGCACACGCGGGGCAGATCAAGGGTGAGAAATTCAGTGACTTATCCAAAGTCACACAATACCCAGTTCCTGGCAGAACTCGGAACAAAGCTACAGTGTTTGCCATTAACGCCTCCCCATCTTGAGCCCATTCGGCCTACTATGCTGGTATTTAGCCTGATGTTTCTGCATCTAAAATATCTCACAGTAAATGATTTCAACAGATCTCTCTCACCAATCCACAAATCTCAGTTGCATTCACCATCGCAATGGATGACCGGGCAAATCCAGCGTACTTTGTAATTTAATAAGAAAGCAATTGTCTGGTGGATTTGTTTAGAAGACTGAGAAGTAAATGAGCTGCAGAGCTTCCTGCAGTGCTGGAGGGGCCGCAAGGCTTAGCGCTCAAGAGCATGTGACTAGTCAGTCGGCTCTGGTTTAAAGCTCAGGGTCCTCACTTCTTACTGATGTGACCTCTGAATCGCAGTGTGACATCTATATGATCTCTGACCTTTATTGTGCCTCAGTTTCCTCGTTTATAGAATATATTTAACATTGGTATCCTTAAGGATTGTTGTGAGAATTAATTGAGCTAATAGAAGTAAAGTGCAAATTAGTACAATTCTGTTTTTTCAACAAATTTTTACTAACAGGGTCGCTATGTACCAGGCACTGTACTTGGTGTCGAGAGACAGCCATAAACAAAATGGTTAATTCTGACAACCAGTGAATTTTCCTAGTAAATAATCATTATAAAGATGATAATAGTAAAAGCAATAATGATTTTTAACGCACTGTATAAACACAGGGTGTCCCCAAAAATGTATATACACACTTTGAATAATTATAAAGGCAGTGTTCATTAAAATGCATTTCATTTTCAAAACGGAGCTATCAGCTGTTAAAGTGGGTATACATTTTTGGGGGGACACCCTGTGTTATGTTTTCGGCACTATGCTGAGTGCTTTGGGTCTTTTTAAAAATTCTATTTGTTTAGTCTTCAAGCTATACCTCCAGTTCGTGGACAAAAATATGCCAACATAATTTTTTTAGGGACTGAGTTTCTGTTGATGATGACGGTTGGTCTGTCATATGACAGGGTGTGTGAGAAAAGATCCCTCAGTTGTATTGAAGCCCCTGCCTTAAGGAGGGACTTGGAAGACAGTACAACGCCTCACAGTGACCTGCAGTGTCCACGGAATGAAGGACTTCTAATATATTCCTAGGGATAAACACATCAAGTGCTTACATTGTATCAATTTATTTAATTCCCTACAGCAATAGGTACCGGTTTAGGCCCATTTTACAGTTGATGAAATTGAGGCCTTAAAAGTTTAAATAAATAATTTGCTCCAGGTAACATGCTTAATAAGTGGCAGAAGTCTGAAAAACCCATGATCATAACTATGGCACCGTATTGCCTTACTGTCATGAAAAACTTATATGCTATCGTTTACCCTACAAAAAGGCAGGGCAAAGAAATGAATAAATATATAACCTAGTTAAACAGGTTTCACAGTATATAATACAGTTTTGATGCAACAGTGGCCATTGTGATAAGTTTAAATAGAAACACAGGTTTGGATACAGTATAAAGCTATTAATAAAGAGCCTGATATTACCTGGATTCGTTTATACCAAGGGTTAAGTCTCAGATCTCAAACATGATCTCTCTATATAGTAAAAGTTAATAGAAGATAACTCATAAGATTAAGAGTTTGTCTCACAGTTGACCCAGAACATTTCTAAAGGGCCTCTAATGTATTTAAACTTTTCAAATTGCTCCTCGTATTGAATGATCCCCTATTAAAACCATGTCCGTATTACAGCCCTACCTCATTCCCCACCTCCATTCCCTCAGCATTATATCTCATTACAGGCTATTACAAACCCAATAAACACACACGTTGGATTAGCCTGACTGTCTCAGAGAAAAGACATATTTTTCATATGATAGGGTAATATCATCCACATTTAATAGAAGCATTGTTTAAATAAATTCAGATTGTACGATGAAAATAGGAAAGACCTAATCATGAGCATCGATATAGGCTATGATCCTATACTGTAGACAGTATCAGTGGCTTCTTTACAAAATATATCTGTTTATATACTGACCATCCCCTGTCCTGTGACACCTTTAAAAACTGATTATGTGAACATTTTCACTGTTCACATTTTGAATAAATCAGAATCAAACTTAGTTTACTACTTATAATTATAGGAAAATCTAAATCCCTTTTTATCTGCCTCTCAGAATCATTTCATTGTATCTTCCTGGGTAATTCTGCTTCAATTAGGAAACCGGGTTAAACCTGAAAAGAAGTTATTAGTGACATACCTGGACAGAATTTTTTCCTACTATGATAGTCTATTCATTCTAGGCATAGTGCTTCCACAGAATATGTTTCTTAAGTTAATTTACATTTTAGACTGCAGAACCACTGGAGCAAGGAAATTAATGTTCAGTCAAAATAAAATGCCATCCAGAAAAATCAATACCATTTGCTATCAAGTGAGGGTGACTCTAATAAGGGTGACTGAAGAACCACAATTATTTCTCTTAAAAGTAAAAAGAGTGCCTCACGACTGTTTTCTCCTTTACTTTCCCAAACACAATATACACAGTTTTGTGGCCATTTACCTTGTAGAAATAAGAATACTTTTTTTTTTTTTTTTTAAGTCCTAGTGCGTAAACTCTGAATTCTTGGAAAGAAATTGTGCACTTGATTTTCTGATAGCTTCCAAATAACTACTACTTGAATGAAATTGCTACCTGAAAATTCAGTAGCACTATGATTGTTTAACTATAATTTAAGAAGCTGCCATAGATTGGTCCTTAGGACTTCTAATGAGAAAACCATAACCACCTTTTAATTGAGGGGGAAATGGTTAACTATAGTAATTGCAATCAATAAGATTGTGTTAGTAGCCTACATATTTCTTCTCAAAGAGCATTCTATACTCTCCTTAGAGGTATTTAAGGTTTGAAAGTGTAAAAAAAAAAACAAAACAAAAAAACCTATTAGAAATCCATCTTTCATTTTTAATTCTAAGCCTTGGTTCAAATTTGTAAGAGCTGAGAGAGAACCCACCCCCCACAAGCCAAACAAGACTTTGCTGAAGAAGAAAAGTGAGGCGTGGGGAAAAGGGCTTACCAATCACATAGGCGAGTAACAAGGCCAAGGTCACGGTGATGGCGGTGGCGCTCAAGGCCGTGCACTTCCAGTTGCAGCACCTGTAAGGTTTGTTGAAGGTAAAGGCGGGTCTGGAGAAGGTGCTGCGGGGAAGCGGCCTGGGAGGCGGCGAGTACACGGTGTTGGACGTCAGGGGGTAGTTCTGACTGGCTGCGCTGAAGATAGCGGAGGACCCAGATCCATGCTTGAACAGGAAATGTCTGCAAAAAGGGAACACAACCGTGGGCTTTTGCCAAGGCAGTTGCTACAAAAAACGAAAATTTCCACCCATTTCAAACCATCAGGCTTCAACAGAGCTCAGGGGAACTGGGAGGGGCTCAATCAAATGTTCATATGCCTAAGATCTAACTCCCAATTGCCCTTGGTGTCTCCCTCTGGTTTTCTCATCTAGGCCTTTGGGAGGAAGAAAGAGGTTCTCTGTTCCCTGCCTTTCTGGCTGGTGAATTTGTCACGCTCTGAGCACTGACCTCCCGCATTCGATGTTATTTTCTATATTCTTCCCTTTCATTAACTAGGATACCCGAGGGTTGATTCCAAAACAGAAGCATCATCAGGCATTTGGTCATCTGAACGGCCTAGAAACCAATGTTTTATTTAGAGGCTAGCTTTCACAGATACATTTTTACTGAATATTTCATTATAAAAATTGTCCAACATATAGAAAAGTTGAAAATGTTTTATAACGTACGAACACACCCCCACCAAGTAGATTCTACAGCTAACTTTGACTCTACTCATTTTCTCATGTATTTACCCATCTCTGCATCCCGAGTTTCATCCACAGGTCCGTCTTAGTTTCTAAGCATTTCATAGTAAGTTGAGTACATCAGTGCGCTTCCTTTGGCATATTTCAACCTGCTATTATTCTCTAAAGGTTAATATTTTTATAGAGTTTTAATGGAGAATTTATACATGATGAATTTGGCTTTTTCAGATTCCACATACAAGTGAGATCATGCAGTGTTTGTCTTTCTCTTCCTAACTGATCTCACTTAGCATAATGACCCCAAGGTCCACCCATGAACTTGAAAAACCAGACAGCAGAATGGTTACTGGGGCTGGTGGTGGGAGAATAGGAGGAAGGTTTAAGGGTACAAACTTGCAGCTAGTGGATAAGTGAGCCTTGGACATCTAATGTACAGTCCAGTGATTATAGACAACGACACTGTATAACAAACATCACACTTGTTCAGAGACTAGATCTTAATTATTCTCATCACACACACAAAAGAAATAATTCTGTGAAATAACAGGGGTGTTAGCTAACACTACAAGGGCGATCAGGCTACAATATGTAAATGCAGCAAATCAACGTGTTGCGCACCTCAAACCTATACAATGTTGTTGTTTTTTGTTTTTGTTTTTAAATATATCTTTATTGATTCCAGAGAGAGGAAGGGAGAGGGAGAGAGATAGAAACATCAATGATGAGAGTCATTGATCGAGCCCGCAGCCCGGGCATGTGCCCTGACCGGGAATCGAACCCTGATCGCCTGGATCCAAGGCCGACGCTCAACCGCTGAGCCACGCCCGGCCGGACTATACAATGATATATGTAAATACATTTCAATTAAAAATTATACACGATGAAACGCACAAATTTTAAATGTGCATTTGCTGAGATTTGGCAAATGCAATAACCTGTGCAACCCAAACCCCTGTCAAGATACAGAACATTTCCACTACCCAGGACACTTCTTCCTGCCTTTCTAAGTAAATCCCTATTCTCTCCCCCTGAGGCAGCCACTATTTTGCATTTTTTCTTCCATGCATCAGTTTGCCTGTCCTATAACTTCACATTCTGCTGTCATGTTTTAATTACTACAGGATCATTATTGACTGCTCAGGTCTATTGTAACATGGAGATTTCATAAATTTCTTCACATGGAAGGAGTTGCCAAAAACAAATATGTGGAAGTATGCTTCTGGGGCCCATACGCTATACTTAGTGGGTGCTAAGTGCCAAACACTCATTTTTCTCAGTCTTCACTCGTATGACACGGGCTACATCGCACATTTAAGGAAATGGAGGCCTAAAGAGCTTCACTCACTTCCCTAAATACACCTAGCAAGTGAGAGGCAGAGTCAAAATAGGAACCCAGGTCATTCTGGCTCCAAAGCCCTTAATCTTAACCACTCTACGGGGCCTCCTGGGGCAGTAAAATGCACTGTTAAACAAAGCACATTGCAGGGCCACATTTTAATGTACTACGACACAAAACCCCTGCACTAAGCGGAGAGCCAACATCACCTTGCCCGTGTGACATATGCCCCAAAGCATAAATCATCAGGATTACTTAAAGACTGGTTTCTAGCCTCCATTTTTAAAGAACAAAAGCGTGTGTGTGTGTGTGTGTGGTGTGTGTGTGTATTTAAGGAAAAGGGAACTTTCTATATGCCAGTTAATGAAAAATATCTGCATTAGAGAATTTTGCTTTAGAATCATGAAGGTAAAAGTTAGGTAAAGGGCTGGGTTGCTGAGGGGAGCGCAGGGTCACAAGGCTTTCTGCAGAGTAATTTGCCATTACACATCAAAAGACTTCAAATATGCATACTCTCTGGCCCAATAATTAGGCCCATATGAATTTACCCTCAGGAAATGATGTGTATGACAATGCATGTAAGAAGTCACTCATTGCAGTGCCACTTATAATAGCAAAAAATAAAAACACAAATGCTCAGTAACAGGTATGTGGGTCAGGAAATTCTTTCACAAACATAGCAGAATACTATGCAAGCCTTACAAATTGTGTTGTAAAGGAATTTTTAACTAGAAAAATCGTTACAGATATTACCAAGTGGAAAAAGGTAGGCTTCAAGACAATCTGGGCAGTAGGATATAATTTTTAAATTTAAAAAAGTATACACACACACACACACACACACACACACATATATTCATGGCAAAATAATAATTTGTGTTCCCCTTGGATAATAAGGGTATTTTTAAGGTTTTATGCCTTGAGCTTGTATTGCTTTTGTAACTAGTATCAAAAAGACTGGGGTGGGGTAAGCGAAAAAGTTGCACTGGCTAACACCCATCACATGTATAGTTGGCTCTATTTATGTGAACACGATTTATTGAGCATCTAGGAAGTCCAGGCACCAAAGTAAGTACTTTATATGCATTATTTTATCCTCATACATCTGTGAGGTTGATAGTATTAGTCTAATCTTACAGATGATGAAATGGAGAACTAACGAGGTTTAGTAGGAGCGGTGATTGTAGTTATCATCATCATCATAAGAGGTAACATTCATTAAATGCTCATTTGTGCCAACCATTGTTCTAAATACTTCACAGAGTATTATATCATTTCATGTTCACAACAACCCTATTACTTAAGTACTGCCAGACAGATGAGAAAACCGATGCACAGAGAGGTTAAGTACCTTGTCCATGGTCCCACAGCTAGTAACTGGTGAAGCTGAGTTTCAAACCCAAGCAGTCTGGCTACAGTGAACACATTAAGATTTGAATCGGGGCCTGTAAAGGCACAGAGGAAGCATGCTTGCTATTGATTTTGGCATGTGGATAATACTGGATTGGGCCGTGCTTTTAGCCTGTTCCTTTGGGACCAATGACAAAAATGTGAGAATCAGAGTTGGAAGGAATCTCAGAAATCAGCTAGTAGCCCAGCACCTCGTTTGGCAGTTAGGGAAGCTGAGGCCCAGGGAATAAAAGTGGATTAAGCACAAGTAACACAGGTAGTTTAAAGGCCCGAATGAGCCTGGGATCGGGGGCTTTCCACTGTCGCACGCTCCCTGCCGTCCAGTCTTGGCTGGGTCAGCACCGGGCTCTAATCTCCTGGGTTAACTGAAGCAGCCTGAACAAACAACCTGTTCCAGCAGCGCTACATGACACAGATGCATCCTTCCCCATGGCATGCTCTCATAGGAACTTTTAAAGACCATCTGAACTATTTTGGATGAATGGGGGAGCATTACAAAGAAGCTACCCTTTCATTGTTAGGAACCTGAAAGAGTCATTGCTGTTTCTAAAGGCTCTCAAATGCATCCCCAGAATGGAGCAACGTTTATAGTAGAAATAAGAGTACATATGTTTTATTGAAAAAGTGACAGAGCATTATGCTCCTTCCATCTGAATGCACTTTCTTTTTAGGCCCTGAAATAATCACCTCCGTGTCACAAGGAAGTGGATTTCTTCTTTAATGTCTGGTTAGCTCCCCCAGTCTGTGATTTCCCCTTTGGCCATGTCATTGACTAGTGAGCAAAAAGTGTAGCACTTTACAGACAGCATAGTGGAGTTGCCTCCCCATCTTCTCACCCCTGCCCTGTGGTGAGTCTGCAGGTGACAAATGTCACGTTTAAAAGATCCTATACAGCAGCACTCTGATGTGTTCCTATGGGATAAAAGAGAAACCCAGCACATGGAGCTCTTTTATTCAATGTTTGACGATACAATCTTCGATCCTTTGAATATTTAAGAAGGAAAACAATTGGATTTTTGGAGACATCGTCAGTGGCCCAATATGCTGGATATTGATTTGGTTTGGTATATCATTAAGTGGCAGAAGAAAGACAAAAAAAGGCAGCATTGTTGGCTATTATGATGGCAATTACAAGCAATAATCGATATCCCTGAGCACTGTAATTTCATCCTGATATACACCAAAGGATTTCCAAATGCAGTTTCAGAAGTAAAATATTACAGTATAATGAATAAATTCAACAGTCACAGCAGAGAAGCATTTAAACTAATTCATATTTGAATGGAATCCAAATCACAGTCCTCCGCGAGGGGAGATAATAAAATGACTCCATATACTGAGATTCCTGTTTTCTTATTAACAAGCTCAGATTAAGATTCTATGCTGAAAGAGATCTCTGCTTTCATGTGCATCGTGAAAAACAGCGATGTAAATGCTCTGCATTGTCATAGGCTTTGCAGTCCGTTGTAGGAAAGTGAAGGTGCTGCTTGAATGTGTTTTCACAGTCCCTGAAAAAAGTAGCCGCATAAAGACAAATGCACGGTGCTAGACTTCAGCTATTTGCTCATAAAATCAGATCATCTGTCTAAGCACATTGCTTTTCCCTGGGGACCCGAGGATATACTAAAATGTTGCTATCAATTTCATACAATTGGGTTTTTTCCACAGTGCAAATGATAAAAATGCAGTTCAAGAGTTTATGTGTAAGTAGTACTCTCCTTTGCATCTGTTTTAATATTCAAGTTCAA